GTGAATAACTAAGTTATTCTGAGTATTATAAATACTCACATCAACTACAAAGGATCTTTGAAGGAAGATGCTATCCACCTCCAGAGAAAGAACTGATAAACAGAAGTATGCATAATATGGGTTTACATACATATACATATTTACATACATACACACGTGTGTATGTGTTTCTCTCTGTCTCAAATGGTGGACTTCTCTAGTGAGGTGATGGGGAGAGAGGGAGGGAGACAGTGTAGAACTTAAAATGTAACAAAAAATAAATTTAATTTTTTCAAAAAACTACACAAAATATCTATGTCCATTTTACCCAAAGAAATGGATGACAAAAATAAAGGCCTCATACACACCAAAAACAAACAAACAAAAAACACCAGGATGGAGGTTATGATAAAAAGTATAAAGTTTCAACTAATGGACTGATTTCACCTTGCAGGAAACAACTTTCATATTACATGCTGTTTGGCAAAATGAACATGTGATTTACAACAAAATCTGTTATTTCGTTAATCCAGTACTAAAAGAGGAGATCATGATAAGTGCACAGGTTTTCTCTTAGAACACATGACTAATTAAATAATTAAATAAAGAATTTTGAATTCACTGAAGTCACATTGCTGGCTAGTTGCCACACTGGCTTTTCAATCTCTTAATTTCTGATCCAGCCTTATGAAAGGAAGTATATGACCTAGCTAGGTGATACAGTGGGTAAGTCACAGACTTGGAGTCAGAAGACCCAACTGACTCCAGATACTTAGTAGATGTATGACCCTGGTCACATCACTTAATCTCTGTCTGCCTCACTTTCCTTATCTGTAAAATCAGAATAATAATAGCACCTACCTCCCAATGTCCTTATAAGAATCAAATAAGATAACATGTATAGCACTTTGTAAACCTTAAGGCATTAGATAAACATTACATATTATGATTATTAAGCAATATTCAATGATACCTCTTCCAGTTCACAAAGATTTTACATCTGAAAGGACATCTTTGAGGGCATGAAGTCCAACCACCTCATTTTGCAGATGAGAAAACTGAGACATACTGAGATTAAGTTACTTGCCCAAGGTCACACAGGTAGTAAGTGCCAGAGGTAAGATTTCAATCCATTTTACAAAACACCTTCTCCCCACAAAGTACCATCAGATAGACAGTGTATTTATTATTGCTATATAACAGAGGAGCAAACTGAGAATCAAATAGAGGTTAAGTGACTTGCTTAGGGTCAGACAGCTAATAAATTTGAGAGGTGAAATTGAGAGGATTTATAGCTAGAAGAGATCTTGAAGATCATTTGCTTAACTCCCTCACTTTACAAATGAAGGAACTAAAGGCAAAATAATTCATCTGAAGCATCAGAATAAGGACAGAGTTTTCAGATTTGGGTCTAAAGTTATTATTTAAAATTATAAACTTAATAGCCACCAATGAAAACAAATATATATTCCAAATCAGTAAAATTTTACATAAAACCCTTACCAGTTTAATGTTCACTGAAAATAGTAGAAAAACACAAGTATTTTTCTTTCAAAATATGTAAGGACACATCAATGTGGTCCCTTTTAATGCTGAGATCTAAATATATAATTATGGCAAGCCTAATTTAACCTTTATTAAGAACCTTATATTATATAAAGTGGTCTCCTAAGCATTAGTGATACAATGACATATATATATATATATATATATATATACATACATACACACACACCTGTGTGTATGTACATATATGTATGTGTGTGTGTGTATATATATGTATGTATGTATGTGCCATTCATTAAAAGTAATTTCTAAGGGAAAGAGTAGCAGACTGAACTCCTGACTCTCCCTGATTTTTCCTACAATGACCCAGAAACGTCTTCTTCTTGGATGTTCACACTACCCCCAGACTCTTGGAAGTACCCTCTGCTCCTGTACCCTCTCCCTCTGAATGGCTGGTTCCTCCTAGAACCTGAGACTCCAGGACTTTCTCTTACAAAGACCCAGTACATCTCTTCAGCTCCCTTTTTCTTTTTTTTCTTCAAATTATTTTTCGTTTTCAACATTCACTTCCATAAGCTTTTGAGTTTTAAATTTTCTCTCTCTCCCTTCCCTCCTCCTTCCCCGAGATGGCATATAATTGATGTAGGCTCTACATTATATTCATATTACACATATTTTCACATTAGTCATATTGTAAAGAAGAATTTAGGACCAATGGGAGGAACCATGAAAAAGAAGAAACAAAACAAAACTACCACAAAAAAAGAGCAAATAGTATTCTTCCATCTGCGTTCAGACTCCACAGTTCTTTTTCCGGATGTGGACAGCATTTTCCATCATGAGTCTTTTGAAGCAGTCTTAGATCCTTGCATTGCTGAGAAGAGCCAAGTCTATGAAAGTTAGTCATCGTACAATGTGGCTGTTAACTGTGTACAATGTACTTGGTTCTGTTCATTTCACTCAGTTCATGTAAGTCTTTCCAGGTTTTTCTGAAGTCTGCCTGTTCATCATTTCTTATAGCACGATAGTATTCCATTACACTCACATACCACAATTTGTTCAGCCATTCCCCAATTTATGGGCATCCTCTCAATTTCCAATTCTTTGCCACCACAGAAAGAGATGCTATAAATATTTTTGTACATGTGGGTCCTTTTCCCATTTTTATGATCTCTTTGGGATACAGACCTGAGTCAAAATTTTATGCACAGTTTTACAGCCCTTTGGGCATAGCTCCAAATCGCTTCTCCAGAATGGCTGGATCAGTTCACAACTCCACCAACAATGCATTTGTGTTCCAATTTTCCCACACCTTCTCCAACTATCATTTTCCCATTTTGTCATGTTAGCCAATCTGATAGATGTGATGTGGTACCTCAGAGTTGTTTTGATTTGCATTTCTCTAATCAATAGTGATTAAGTCAGCTCCCTTTTTATGTATTCTCTTCCCCTATTGGAATGTAAGCTCCTGGAGGCAGGTACCGCCTTTCTCTCTCTTCTGTCTGTATCTTAGCACAGTGCCTGATACACAGTATGTACTTAAGAAATGTCTGTTACCTTTGACAACTCAGATACTGTGCAATCACAATAAATTATATTTCTTCTCAGGGAACTCCCTGTCTCAAAGGATGGTACTGAGGAAAGCTATCTCTAAACATCTAAGTGCCAGCAGCACTGAAAGAGTTACCATAGGGTTCTTTATTAGAAATAGTTAACACATCGTGTTGAAAACTACCCTGGTATCTTTATTTACAGAAGTCTGGCATGGAGCATATAAACATTTGACAAAGAGGCTATTGGTACAGACAGAAATGCAAAGAATGAGGCAAACCCCTTTTGCTTAAAAAGATGGTAATTTTAGAAGGAATCTCAGGAAACTCTTAAGCAGACAGCAAAATGATACAGATACACTCACAGGTTAGCAATCGACCAGGTAATCTGCATTTTTTGGTTTGTGTTTTTAACTCCATGCCTGGAATGTGGTCCTTCCACAACTCTACCTTCTGGTTTCCCAGGCTTCCTTCTAGACTGAGCTCAAATCCCACCTTCTACTGAAAGTTCTTGGGCCCCTCTTCTAGTGCCTTCCATCTACTGTGGGTAGATATCTATGGCTGGTTGGTTTATCCTGTTGTTGGCATGTTGTTTCCCTGGTAAGAATGTTAGCTTCTGGGGCTGCTAAGTGGCTAGTGGATAGAGCACTGGCCCTAGATTCAGGAGAACCTGAGTTCAAATCTGGCCAGACACATAACACTTACTAGCTGTGTGATCTTGGGCAAGTCACTTAACCCCATTGCCTAGCCAAAAGAAAAAGAATGTTAGCTCCTTATGGGCGGTATCAATGTTTTCGCCTTTCTTTGTACCCTCAAGGCATAGCTAGAATATAGGAGTTGGTAAATGTTTGTTGACTGAATGTTTGAAAGGAACTACAACTCCAGGGATTTGGCTCATGACCAGCTATTTACTGGATGGACACAAATTCAAGTGAGGTGGATGGAGAAAATCAGAAGTAAACTAAAAACAGACACTTTTGCTGCTTTGTAAAAAACAAAACAAAAACAAAAACAAAGAAAAATGGATCCAAGTTTTAGTTCTGTGAAGCTTTTTTTTTTTTGCCCAAGGCAAATGGGGTTAAGTGACTTGCCCAGAGTCACACAGCTAGTAAGTGTTATGTATTGCATTTGAACTCAGACTCAGGTACTCCAGGGCTGGTGCTTTATTTACTGCACCACCTAGCTGCCCCCTGTGAAGTCTTTCTTTAAAAAAACAAACAAACCAAAAAAATGAGCAACCTCATGGACTAGAAGAGAGTGAAAATAAAAGACAAGGGAGAACTACTTAATTTAAAGCTCCATTTAGAACATTTGGCAGTGCCCAAGGTTAAAACTCATTCAGAAAATGAAAATTCTGCTCTTATTATCTCTCTTCCCACCCCCCAGCCCCAGTTCAGGTACAGCAGCGGAATGACAAATAGGGTCATAGGGTGACAGGCAGAGTGGCAGGCAAGCAGAGTGACAAGCAGGCAGAAAAGGTCAGAGCTGGTATGCCAGTGACAGGTAAGCAGGGTGACAGGCAGGCAGAGTGACAGGAAGGCAGGGTGCATACAGTGACAGGTAGGCACATAATGTTAGAGGCAGGGTAACAGTGACAGGCAGGCAGGGTGACAGAGTGGCAGGAAGGGTGACTGACAGTAACAGGGTGGCAGGCAGACCCGGTGGCAGGCTGACAGATTGCAGGCACAGTGACAGAGTGGCAGGCAGCTGACAGGGTGACAGGCACCTCCTTGGTCTCAATGGGGGCGGGGCCGCGGCTCCCCCCAACCCAGGCCCGCATTCCTCGCTCTGCTTCCCCGCCCCCACCCCGGGCTGCCCGGAGGGCAGGTTCGCCCAGGGGCGGCCAAAGCCCGCGCTCGGCCACGGGACCATCCCCTGCTCCCCGCAGGACCAGAGCGCGGCCTGGGCCTCGGCGCCCCTTCCCAGCTCCGTCTCCAGCTTCCTCCCCGCACCTTCCCCGCTTACCCTGCCAGTGGCGGCCGTGGCCCCGACCCGGCGGCTCCTCCTCAAAAAGCCCGGGGAGCCTGGAGCCCGGTCCGAACCGAGGGTCGAGGGCGAGAGTCGCAGACCCGCCCCCTCAGTAGGGCTGGGGCGGGGGGGGGGAAGAGGGGAGAGGCGCGTTAGGCAGGGACCTTCCCCCCGAACCCGGCCAGCCCCATTCCCGACCCCGCGGGCCCGGACTATCCCCGCCCTGGCTCCACCCCCAGCCGCTCGAGCCGGCGCCTCAGACTGGTCGGCGGCCGCCAGCCGTTAGTGCGCCTGCGAGCGAGTGCCAAGGGAGCGGGGTGGGGCGGGGCTGGCGGAAGGAGTGGCCCGCAGGAGAGAGAGCAGAGACAGAAAACTACAATTCCCAGCGACCCCCGCGCCAGAGCCGCCCAGACTGGCACTTCTCCGCGTCGTACTGGTCTGGATCGCAGAGGTCGCCGCCAGGCTCGGGTCGCGAGGTGATGACGCTAACGCTCTGAAGCCGAGTGCCAGTCTTTTCCGCCACCCGGCTGCTTAGTCGCTGTGGTGGCGGCTTCTGCGGCGAGCTTTTGTTGGGACTCTTCCGAGGCTGGCGCTGTCTGCGAGCCGACGACGCCGGGACCACACCGGTGAGTGACCTCCTGCCCCGGTCGGCTCTCGCCAGCCTCCGGGGCACCGGCCGGCTGACCGTCTCCTCCCTGTGCCTCCGCCCCTCCCTTAGCCTGGGGTCCCCCGAGGTCACGGGCGTGGGAGAAGTGCAGGGAGCGCCCCGGGGCACCGACTCTCCCCAGGCCGGCCCTTGGGCTGCTCCCGCAGGGCCCGGGTGGGCGTGGACGAGTGACCGGCTCTGGCCGTGTCCGCAGGAGCCGGGGAGGAAGGACTGGTGCCACATCGCATCCCCGAAAGGTGCCATTGGGCCACTTATTCCCGACCTTTTGGTTAGAGGTGACAGTACCTGGAGCCGCCCCGAGGGCGCTGGGAAGAGGGAGGCAGATGCTGCATCTTGGCACTTTAAGCATCATTTTCTACCCAGAGTCTTTCTTCTCTTCCGCTGGTGCCGTTCCCTCCAAACTACCTTACATTCTCACTTATTCTCTTTATTCTCTCTATATATTACATATATGTATATGCACACACACATAAACGGACACATATATATATATATACACACACACATATACATACACATATACACACGTATGTATTTGTTTTCTCCCACTCTCCATTAGAATGTAAACTTATTGAGGGTTGGGATTTTTTCATTCTTTGTATTTGTATCCCCAGGGCCTGGCATGTCCAGTTGTGACCCCATTTGGGTTTTCTTGGCAAAGGTATTGGAGTGGCTTGCCATTTCCTTCTCCGTCTCATTTTACAGTTGAGGAAACTGAGGCAAACAATGTTAAGTGACTTGCCCGGGATAACACAGCTAGTGTCTGAGGCTAAATTTGAACTCAGGCCCAGCCTCTCTATCCTTTATGCCACTTAGCTGCTCCATAATAGAAACTTAGCTTGATAAATGCTTGACTGGTTGATTTTGGTTGTCTGGGTCCTTGAGACTAGATATTGTTTCATTCTTTGTATCTTCAGCACCCAGCACTGTGCCTGGTGCTTAATAAATGTTTGATTGATTGATCAAAAAAAAAAAAGGATGGACTGTTTCCTGTCTAATTAAATAAACAGTCCAATAGAATATAAGCTACTCTACTTCTGGTATGGCTTTTATCTTAGTGTCAGCTGGCCCTAACCTAGGACTTTGCCCTCCTTGTAGAGCTGATTAAATTAATAAAACCTGGTGATTGGTAAACAAGGTACTTTATTACCATAAAAATACTAAACACATCATTTTTCTCACATTTGAGCTCTTTTAGGCAAAATTTAAAGGCTTTTTTCTTAACCAGTACATTGAGGATGAACTCTGAATTAATAGAAATCGAGAGACATAGCTTTGGCTCTCTACAGGCCATTTAATTTTCTCCCCCTAGGCCTTCAAAATCTGCTAGGGTGCTGAATTTGAAATTCAGCAACAGAACTAAAGAAATAGTTATTTAGAGAGGTGGTGACATCAGCGAAACAAATTGAGATCATTCCTTGTCTCTCATGGCAGGGAGATGATAGACATAAGAGAACTTTTAGAGTTTCGGTGTTAATGATGGATCAAAATCAACAATATTTGAGAACCCTGTTATCTGAATACTGATTTGTAAATTTGTTAAACTTAATCAGTTCCTGTCTTATTCCAGTTTTTTTTTGCCTACAAATCAAGAAGCTCATACTGGCTTCATAAATGATTGTTATTTTATTAAATGTTTAAAAAAATAATAATTGAGGGGGCAGCTAGGTGGTGCAGTAGATAGAGCACCGGCCCTGGAGTTGGGAGAATGGGAGTTCAAATCTGGCCTCAGACACTTGACACTAGCTGTGGGACCATGGGCAAGTCACTTAATTCTGATTGCCTCACCAAAAAACAAATTGAAACAGATAAAAGAAAATCTATTATGGATAAAGATGCCAGGGACATGTAAACAAAGGAGATGATTTCTTACGAACTCTGCCACCAACTAGCAGTGTTATCTTGGGCAAGTCACTTAACCTATTTGGGTTTCAGTGTTTTGTCTGTAAATTGAGGGGTTGGAACTTATTCTTAGATGACTCAACTTTGAAATTCTGATTCTGTAGGTCCGATTAAAGACTACATAAATAGCTCATGTTCTACTGTATATAGGCCTATTTTGTAGTTAGTTTTAAGGGGATCTTTTTCTCCTAAGTATTCAGGGTACTCAGAATGTTAGTAGCTACTGTTGCAAGGAATTGGAATAATGACGATATTAAGGAAATAGCTGTTCCTCTTGATCATTTATAGTCTTCACACTGCATTTTATTTTTATATATTGTTTACTTCATCTCTACCAGTAAATGCTTCCATTTGATTACTGCTCCCACTTAGTAGGTGAGAAAACCTGAGTCATTGAGATAATTTCCTCAAGTTTAAATGAGTGACTGAGTTGGAATTAAAATTTAGTCAAGTGCCACACAGCCATACTTTTGTAATACATTAATAATTTTGGATTACAGGTTAAAACAAAGAGTCTATTGTTAATACATTGAAAACTGTGAAAGGACACAGGATTAATAATTTAGGAGGAATTCAGTTTTTAGCCGTGCAGAATGACCTTGCCAGGATCTAGTGTCAAATATGTGAGGAAAGTAATACTTAATAATTTTTCCCACTCTGATGAGGAATTAAATGAGTACATGCTATTTTTCTGCCCCCAAACTCCATAATTATGTAGTCTTAAGCAGTTAAAACTCCTAAGATCTATCATTTATTTCTACTGAATACCAAAGTGCTGAAAGAATTTATTGAGAGGTTAAAGTATGGCATTTTTAAAAAATGGAGATAGGTTTTTTAAACCTGTAAACTAAGCATGAGGACAAACTATGCTCCAAAATGTGAAAATAAAGGTATCCTAGAAAGAGAAGGCAAGTTTTAAGGCTCAGAATTAGGACAGAAGTAAAGGACAGAGAAGGTTTTGCCTCTTGTTAACCTTCTGCACCAAGTAAAGGGCTTAAAAAAATGTAGTCATGGAATATATTGAGCATGAAGGAACTTTAGAGATGCTATAATTATGTGCACCTGCCCAATTTTGGTTTCATGTCATTTGCCGTTTCAAACACAGTGTTTTATCATCTGGCAAACATGTCATGCTTTGTATACTAGATTTTGTCATGGAAGTCGTTTTAAAATCCATGGTAGTACAGATCTTTGGAAGCATTTTTGGGAAGCCCTGTAGTTGTCGAACAAGTAGTATTCCCCAAACCTGACTTGAAGGAAGAAGTGAGAAAGTGTATTTCCTTCCATTCTTTGCACAGGCTGGGGAGGATGGGTGTGCAACAACATAGGTCCTGTCAGGTTTAGTTGATGTGTTGGTTGGTTTTGCCAATATGCTGTTCTCCCTTGTTTTTCTTCTTCATTACAAGAGGTGACGTGATTCTGTGGGGAGAAGTAGGAGAGGGACATATTTGGAAGTGAAAGTAATGAAAAGATAAAAGATACAAAACAATGATGTTATGATGCAAAAATAGACATTTTCATTTTTGTATATAAATTTTTTTGAATAAAGAAGTGGGGAGAATAAGTTTTGTTTTGATACTACAAATACTTGTCAGCCCACACCTGGACCAACAGCCCATGAGGTTAATTCTTGCAAAATTGCATAGTAGTTTGATTTGAAGGCTACTTGCCTCTCTTCAGCTCTACCCCTGACAAAGTGAAACTATTTAAAGGGTTTCCCTGTCCCTTTTCTCTGCTACCAGCTACTATGGTTCTGTCAGGAGAGAAGAAAGAAGAAAGAAGGGAGAGACCTAGGTGGTACTTGAGGAGAAAGCGGGATGGATAGGCCTTAGAACTCGTCATTTAGTCATTCAGCCGTTTTTGACTCTTTAGGACCATGCTGCCCATGGGGTTTTTTGGGCAAAGGTACTGGAGTGGTTTGCCATTTCCTTCTCCAGTGGATTAAGGTAAAAAAGAGGTTCCCACAGCTAGTAGGTATCTGAGGTCTGGTTTGAACTCAAGTCTTCCTGACTTAGGTCCAGAATCTAGTTGCCTCAAATGGATGGATGAGCTTAGAACTAAGACTGATAAATCAATCAATCTGTAAGGATTTATTAAACACTTACTGTGTGCTAGGCATTTGCTAAGTAGTGGGGATATAAAGAGAGCCCTACCCTCCAGGAGCTTACATTCTAACGGAAGAGACAATAGTGCACGTATACACATGTGTACAGAATATATACTAAATCAATATCAAGTCATTTTGTAAGGGCCTGTCCTAGCAGCTGGGGGAATGAAGAAAGGCTTAATGAAGAAGAAGGTATATAAGCACAATCTTGAAGGAAACCAGGGATTCCTAGCTATAGAAATGAAGAGGGAGTTCATTCTCTGCCAAAGAGAAGAGTGAGGGGGACGGCTGGCCCAGCAGGCACTGAAGTGTGGGAAATAGCGAGTAGGCCACGGTGTTTGGATTGTAGAGGGTGAAGAGGGGAGTGAAGTGTAAGAAGACTGGAAAGGGAGGATGGGGCCGGGTCTGGGAAAGGTTGAAATCACCAGCATAGTAGTTTATATTTGAATTTGGAGATCATAGGAAGCCACTGAAGTTTGATGATATGGTGAGACCTGAACTGTAGAAAAATCACTTTGACAGCTGTATAAAAGATGAATGGGAGCAAGGGGAGTCTTTAAAGACAGGGAGACTTAAAAAGTCCAGGAGAGAAGTAAATGGGATCTGAATTAGGGTAGTTGCTATGTAAGTAGAGAAGGCTGGATGGATTCCAGTGATGTCGTGGAGATAGATACAAGTAGGATGAAGGAGAGTTTACCAGCCTGGATCCATGGGCAGTGCTCCTTCTTGAATTCTTGAATAAAGAGCTTTGAGGAACAGCGATGCTGGACGGGTAGGACACAGAGGAGCGTATGTGGATTGTGTGACTCTGTCTCTGTTGACCTGTACGAAGTGAAGGGCCTTAGACGGTATCCATGTGTGGAGAAGTCCTCTGCCACTGTACTCACACTGCTCCACAGAAACTTGCATTTTTACAGCTGCAAGGTACTGAATAGATTATAGGAACATTA